TGTGTGTGTGTGTGTGTGTGTGTGTGTGTGTGTGTGTGTGTGTGTGTGTGTCTGTGTCTGTGTCTGTGTTTCCCGATCCTCTCTGGAGACCCATGTTTACGGTATAATGTGGTGTTTTCTCTCTAAGTGTGACTGTTTAAACATATTATTTATCTGGTTAGAGGAGCATTTGTAGAAGTTTGTCGATTGAAGACAGCCCATTCAGCATTAATTGTGCGTGTGTTCAAGTCTCCCTCTCATAAGAGTAAGCGTCAGCAGCAGGAGCTGATTGTGGAGCTGAGGAAGAAGCAGGTGAAGGACAGCAGACATGTGTATGAGGGTAAAGACGGAGCCATTGAGGACATCATCACAGGTAATGGGGTCTGCGTGCACAGGGCTGTAAAACATACACACAGTTGTAACGTGTTAGTCTGAGCCACTAACCAGCTCTCTGTGACTGGTGGAAAGCTTTGCTGCTCAATAACAATTTTCTGAGCAGTGTGATTACAGGCTGAATGTGTGTGTGCTGTTACTGCTTACAGCTGTGAGCTGGAGTCCAGCTACTAAACACTGTGTGGGTAGTGATTAGTGTAGTCCTCAAGGGGTCATATATTTATTTGTATAGTGCTTTTCACAATAAACATGTATGGAAAATCATGATGTTAATGTTTTGATCTCAATATCTTCATGCCTTACAGTTGCATTTAGTAGATTAGAGATGAGCAAAAATAGAGTTTACATTTTGTAACTATACAAACCATCAAAACAGCTGAGAAATCCAATATAGTGCATACTAATTACATGAGTGTGCTGTATGCAGATAAAGTTGGATAGTTGCATTTGCATTAAAGTTGCATTTTTTGACAGCTCCATGGTTTTTGTTAAAACTACAGGGCTTTTGATCAAACTTCCACATTTTTATATTCCTGCCCACAGACAGTCAGATCAACAGAAGGGTGGCACCAAAATAAAAAAAGGGTAAACCTTATATAACTTTGAACATAGAGTAAGCATCATTGAAATATTAGATTATATATAGTAGATAGATACAGTAGATGGATGGATGGATGGATGGATGGATGGATAGATAGATAGGTGGGTGCGTAGGTGGGTAGATAGATAGATAGATAGATAGATAGATAGATAGATAGATAGATAGATAGATAGATAGATAGATAG